AGTCCCTCAGAGGACAAAATGTATTTTCGTTTGGTCTTTGTTCAGATTGTACTTGTACAGATATACTCTATCTGAAATTTTTATACACACACACACACACACACAAACACACACACACACATATATATATATATATATATGAGGTACTACTCAACACGTCGGGGAACTTGATCAGCGCATGCGGACTGAATGTAGTACGGATTTTTGACGCAATGCTTTTTAAGCATTACTCTTTGTGAGCCGTCTGTGTTAATCAAATAGAAAATAAAAGACTAGTTCGAAGGAAATGGTGTAACCTATGAATTAGAGTAAACTATTTATTCTCCATAAATAAATTCCCCGAAGTTTTGTGTAGCATCCTCTCATATGTTTGCCTGTGTATCTGTGTCTACATACGTAAATCTACGTCTTACATATGAGACAGAGCAGCATTTTTACGGATTTTGTAAGCTTTTTTTTTAGTTGTTGCATTTTTGTTTTCGACCAATCGGCCATAATTGAATCAAAAAGTGTTCTCGTCTGAATCTGGTGATCTTCCAAGGGAGATCACACTTGATTTGACCTCATAACAGAAATTTCAAGCTGAGTCATTTGTTCAGATTTTGCTTTTTTCATACTTTTATTAGGTTAGCTTGTCCATCGATATAAATATTTTTTGCAATATTTTTTCTTCCCCAAATTATTGTCATTTCCAAATACTTTTTCTCTCTCTCTCACTCATGTTTTTTTTTATTTGTAATTTCTCAATTGTCTTTAAATATAGTTTGCCTCGTTTTATTTCTCCAGCGGTTTTATTGATTATTTTTCAAATGCAGTTATATTATATATATATATATATATATATATATATATATATATATATATATATATATATATTGATATTAAATAATTTTACCAAGATTTATCAAATGTACTCATATTGTCTCATAGCATTTTTTTTTTTGTTTTTCTTGGATATTTTTGTTTTCGCTGCGATTTCCATTCAAAATTAAAAAAAAAAAAAGAAAAGAAAAAATGAAAAAAATAAAAACAAGTTTGTTTTCAAGAATAGTTTTCGTTATTCCAATTTTCTTATTTTTTTAAACAAAGTTTCTCTTTTTACATTTCTTCATATTTTTGTTTCATTTTTCTGTCATTTGAATTTAATACACGTATTTTTGACCCGTACATTTTTCTCCGTTTCTCGTACGCTAAACATATTTTTTTTCAGTCAATTTCGCCTCACCTACTTATCTATATCGAAAATAGATTTGTCCATATCAAACACATATCTGTCCACGTTTCTTTGAATCTATTTACAATTACTTTATATTCTTTTATTCATTATAGATACTTAATTCTCCCTCTCATATTTTAATGGTTTATATCAAATTTCTGTTCGACTCTCATCTCACTGCATATATTTTTTATTGTGTACAATTTGAAAACTTTAAAGAATACTTATTTAAACAGTTGAATGTACAATTTATCTTAGAACATATATTTTTCTCCGATCGGAGGACGCCATGTTTGTTGTTGTTTTAACGTTCATTATTGTTATTATTATTGCTATTATTATGATAATCATTGCTATTATTATTATTATTATTATATTATTATTATAATTATTATTATTATTATTATTAATTTGTTTCATTATTTTCTCATATAAAATTTTAATATCAGGTTATTAATACATAGATAGCGGACCATAGCAAGCAGCCTTATGTATCATGCAATTTTTCTTCAGCCTCTCATCAACATATTGTTTCTCAACTGTTTCGTGGTTAGGATTGTATTTCTATTTCCTTCTAAAATCTTTTCATTATTTTTCACTTCTTGTAGCCCATTGTGTCTTAGTGGCATTATTGTGTCTTGGGCAGAATTGATAAAAATGAAATTAACTGATGGACCAAAATCTGTCTTTATTATCGATATTATGTTTTAAAGATCTTTACCGGGAGATTTTTGGCCGAATTTAACGATAGCCAATGGGTACAATTTATGCGCATGTTGTCAAAGCGTACATATGTGTGTGTTTGCGTGTTTGTTCGAATTCATCTATACCTGTATAAAGTTTTGAGTGCATTTGTCTAAGTTTATTTATGTGTAAGTGGGTTTGAATACATTTATGTGTGTGTATACACTATTTAAAAAAAAGAAAAAGATTTAAAAAACGACGACTGTCTATCTGTTATTTTTTTCCAGTTTCGCCGTTCGTAAAATTCACATACGAAATATCGACGTCAATGTCATCCTAATATTTTCTGAAGCGTTATCTTCACCAATATTCTTGTATTATTTCGGACAGTTGTTCTTATCTCGGTTGATATCGATATTATTATTGACACAGCATTTCGACAAAGTACCTGCTGGTCATCATCAGGTATCCATTGTTTGCACATTGACAGTTACTCATCTCAGATAAGATAAAACGTAAATATATCAACAATTATGAAAAGCGGTACGAACCCACCATCATAAGCAAATGTCAAAAATCATCTGATATTGAATATAAAAA